TGAGCTCTGCCATCCCCCCAGACCCCCAGACTGGAGGGGGGGAAGGGTTCAGGAAAGTCTGCCCTGGGCCACTCATCCACCTCTGTTCTGCCATTGCTACCTTCTTCACCTGAATGCAACGCCCGATCACTATCGCTGGAAATGGGCAACTTCCAGTCCAGATACGGCTATAGCTACCGGGCGTTGTATTCCGGTGAAGACGGTAGACTGGAAGATAGAGAGGGGTGATGAAAGTCCGGCCCTGGTTCGAGTGTCCATGCCTCATCCGTTGATGTACACTGTACAGTGTACAGTGCTGGAACAACAGAGCTTCAACAGGCGTTGTCCCAGCAACTTTACTCTTGCAAGGACACACTCCCTTGGTCTTCAACGAGCTATAATTCAGAAGTGAAATTAGCAATTAGCTGATCACTTTCTCCCCAGTGTACATTGTCCAGCTTGTCCTGCTCCCGCAACTGTTACATCCCTTCCAATTGCTTACTGTTCTCCTACTCTACTAGATCCTTTATCTGGGCTATGGCTTTCTGCACGCAGTCCAGGACCTCCTACTATGCCACGGTGCCCACTGCGGGTTTGGCGTACATTGTATCCCATCTCTGTGCTGCTCCTCTTAGCCTTATTCAGGCGGCCTGGCGTTGAAGTTGGGTCCTAAATCTGTTGCAGATAAAATCGCCAGGGTAATCAACTGCCCTTTCTCTCCTTATCTATGTCAGACCTACGCCGACTATCTTGCCAGGTTCTGTTCTATACTGCCCGATGTGGTGTGCCTTTCTCCGTATCCCGCTGACTGGCCATCCACTTCCCGCTTGTTCTTCTGTCTGCAGTGTCTGGTGCTCGTGAAATTCAATTCTTATCTTGTGTCCGTAGATTTTTTTTTTTTTTTTTTAACATCTATGAGCGGTGCCACGGAGGCCCAGGTGATATGAGCATCCCTCTGTGGCACCTGCGTGGCTGATGGTTCCATTCTATTGGTGGGGAGCTGCAGCCGCTTATCCTTCAAACAGGCTTAGAGTTTCTTCTCAGGCTTCAAGTTAGTCAAGCCTTAGGGCGAGATCCCACTGACGGAGAAGATTGGAATAAGTGTCTGAATCTGGACGTGTCTGTCGAGAGGTGCAAAAGATTGTGATTGATCTGCTTTTCTGCATCTCTGAGTGGAACACTTCCAGATTCAGACACTTACTCCAATCCTCCGAGTCTTTGCCAGTGGGATCTGGCCCTTAGTCATGGGTTCACCACTGCTTTTCCGAATGGGCAAGTCTTGCTCAGTCACTCACAATAGAACCAGCTATGGGCTTCATGGATCCTTTCCCTCCTGTGGACAACTGCATGGTCTACAATTGCATCTGTACCCTACTTAAAGATGGGAATACCCGCTAAACCCAGTCCCAGCGCGCAGCTTGCATCTATACCCGGACCGGGGACCCCGTGCAACATTGCTTAGTACCCAACTTTTCCCCTGCGCAAAATTGTAGGCATACCCAGTCCCGCAGGCCCCGAGTTCCAGGCGACAAAATTATGCCCATGCCCAGAAACGGGCTGGCAAAATTGCGGGTGTAACTACAGCTAGGGCCGGGCCTTGGATGACAGACCACAAAATTATGCTCATTCCCACCACGTGGACCATTGTGGCCCCAGCGGAAGCAGCTGGGTATGAGCATTATTTCAGCCATCTGCCATCTGGTAGTAGCCTAGTAGGGTATCTGAATGATTTGGCCTTGGTCCACCTCAGTCCCGGGTATGCCCATAATTTTGCCTGGGTATGTCCATAATTTGTGCATTCCGGTAGTAGGTTATAACTGCAATTTTGCGGTACCAACCTGGGTCCACCTCAGTCCTGGGCATGCAAATAATTTCCACCAGCAGTTTTCGGGGTATATTAGGTGCCAGTTTGTGCTGGTACTGGGTATAGCGGTAATTCCCATCTTTAAGTGAGGTACAGATGCAATTTCCCCTCTTCTTTAATAGAGATTGCTCCAATCTATTGTTGGGGACCGTCACCTGCTGCTGGAAGCTGGGCCCAGCGTCCCACTGCATGTTAGAACTACTCTGGTTGGAACTGCGGAATAAGTTCTGAGATGCTAAAGGTAGAGAACCAGCTAGGTTGGTACTTGATAAAACCCGTCGGCCAGAAGCAAAGCTGACTGATGATATCATAGGGGCTAATGTATCATTGTATCAGTCAATCATCATGAAGATTTGGATTATTCCTGCAATAATGGCTTGCTCGCTTGTCCCAATTTCCAGCAGCAGGTGCTCCTCCCCACCAATAGACTAGAGCCATTCCCACTCCAAGTCCTCAATCCGGGTTGTTCCCTCTCCACCACTGGGATTTTGGCCTTGCAATGAGATGCTGTCCAAAAAAAAAAAAACCAACAACAAAAGAAAAAGGTCAAGACTTAGTCAGAAGTCAACCTTGCTCTGTTGAGTCTGTTCTGATAAAGATAGTCTGTTGGTCTGGGCTTAGGGCCAGATCCCACTGGCAAACAGGATTGTAGCCAGTGTCTGAGTGTGGACGTGTTTGTGGACAGGTGAGAAAATTTGTGATTGATATTCTTTTCTGCATCTCTGTGTGGAACACGTCCAGGTTCAGACTCTTATTCCAATCTTCTTTGCCAGTGGGATCTGGCCGTAGACTTGTAAAGCACCAGTAATAGAGGGGAGCTCTACCGTCGCCCCGCCCCGGTTCCTAGACTCTGAGAGGCAAGAGTCTGAAACAATAAGCAGCAGGAGCAGAAGTAGCAAGCAGTTCCATTAGCAGTGAGTGGCACAAGCCGCAGAAGCAAAAGAAGCAGAGCAGCAAAAGCAGGCAAGCAACATGCACCATGGGTAGCAGAATTGTGTAGGCTTGAATTAGCCCACTGACAAATAGACTAACAGACATGCATGTATCATAGGAACACACTCAGGAACACTCTCAACCACATTGTACAGAGCACAGTGTGATATGGAACAAGAAACACAAGAAACACACGTGGCAACGCCACCACCTAATATACCTTACACAGCATGAGTCAACGCCAAATAGCACATATACAGGCATAGACACATCAGCATAAGGCATCAAGTACGTATTAAATGGTAATGGATAGTATTTGATAGTTAACAGGTTACAATAACAATACCAGGTCATAATAACAACTTTATGAGCGACAGCTCGCTGAAGTCAACATTAGAACAGGTCTGATAGAGGGTTGAGACCTTTGTCACCCAGCCCCTCATCCATACTGACAACTCGTACTTGCATTGCTTTCGTTCCATTGCTATCCTTTCTTACATTGTACTGTACACTGTCAGGGACGCCGGACCTGATTTCCAGGCTCCCGACCAGTAGATGGAGGCTTCCCTACGGTGCTAGTGGTGTCTGCTCTTATCAGCACCCCTAGCAGGCTAGTAGCAGCCGATCGGGTTTTAAAAAAAAAGGAAAAAAAAAAAAAAAAAAAAAAAAAGCAGCAGCCATAGCAAAGCCAACGATAACCACCAGAAGCAGAAGCAAGCAGCAGCAAGCGGCAGCAGAGGTAAACAGTGGCAATTATAGCAGAAGCTGAAAGTTTAGCACTGAAACCAAAAGCAAGAGCAGCAACAACAGCAGCAGCAGCAGCAGCAGCAGCAGAAGAAGTAAGTTAATACAGACAACATCAGCAGCAATACTCGGTTGCAAGAAACACCACTGGAACTTCTGGAAGTGGTAAACAACTGGCAGCAGCAGCAAGAGCTATAACCACAGCAAATATAAAAGCAGCAAAAGAAGCAAAAGCAGTGGTTTCAACAGACACAATAACAGTAGCCGCAGGCCGCAACATCAATTAGTTCAGCAGGAACTTCAAGGAGCAACAACAGCAGAAATAAAAGTTGGCAGCAAACACCAAGTGCGGGCAGCAGCAGCAGCAGCGGCAGCTGGGAACACCAATGGAGCATCAGCACCATCACCAGTAGCAGCAAGCACAAACAGAGGCACTAGCACTAGCAGCAGCAGGAGCAGCAGCAAGAGGCCAGCAACAAGTGGCAGCAGGAGCAGCAGCAGCAGCAGAAACACCGATAACAGCAGAAGCAGCAACATCAATAACTATCAGCAGCACCACCAAGCAGCAGGAGCAGCACGAGCAGCAAGAGCAGCAAGAACAGCAAGAGCAGCAAGAGCAGCAAGAGCAGCAAGAGCAGCAAGAAGCAGAAGTTGAGGCAGCAGCGAGAAACGTCAACAATATTTGTAAGAACAGCTGTTACAGTAGCAGTAGGTGAAGCAGAAAAACGAGCAGACACTTTTGTTGCCCCTTCTCCTGTTCCTGCCCGTTCCTGCCCGTTCTGCTTGTTCTTAGCACGAGCAGCAGCGAGGCAAGGGCATTCTTAGAAGTAGTAAGGAGCAAGAACAAGCAGCAGAACGGGCAGGAACAGGAGAAGGGGCAACAAAAGCAGCAGGACCAACAAGAAAGTTAAAGAAACGACAACAGAAAGCAGCTGTACAAGCAATAGCAGCAAACAGCAGCAGCATCAGCAGCAAATGGCATCAACATTAACAGCAGCAGCAGCATGCCAGCAGCGAATGACATCAACATTAACCGCAGCAGCAAATGGCATCAACATTAACAGCAGCAGCAGCAGCAAAGACAGCAACGAAAACGTCAAAAAGCGTACACAGACGCACCAACAGCAGCAGCAAGCAACAGGAGCAGCAGCGGCAAACAGCAGTGCCAGCAGTAGCACAAGGAGCAGCAGCATGGAGCAGCACGGAGAAGCACCAGAAAGAGCGGAAGCATGCAACAGTGGCAAGATAATCTACTGCCAGGAATTCAGCATGGCTACGCCGTATCTTCCATCTCTTACATGCAAAGACAGATACGTGCACTCATTCGGTGCAGCGTCCATTCCGCATCCCCCTTAGGGCCTTAGGCAAAATCGGACCCGTAGAGTTTCGGCCGACCGGTCGGCACAGCGGCCTTATGGACGGTGACTCTGGTGGAGCCGTCTGTATTCTGTTTTGAGGCCTTGATGTCTTCGCAGTGATCGTTAATGAGGGCATACTCACGCAAAAACTATCTTAGATGAATCTGACCATATTTACGGCCGTACTAAGATGTATCTGATCGAAATGATATTCAGAAATAAATAAGAAGGGCCTGCTGCGAGTATGCCCTGAGTCATAAAGATGACGACGACGATGATGATGGTCGGTCGGGATAATAATCAGCGTCATGTTGTCTCTGTCATCGTCGTCTTATGATGATGATGATGTTGCTGTTGATGACGAAGATGCTGCTGCTGCTGCGGATGATGATGATGATGATGATGATGATGATGATGATGATGGTGATGGTGATGGTGATGATGCTGTCTCTTATACACATCTAGATGTGTATAAGAGACTGATGATGATGTCGATGACGAAGATGCAGCTGCTTCTGCTGCTGTTGCTAATGATGATGATGATGATGATGATGATGGTGATGGTGATGGTGATGGTGATGGTGATGAAGATGATGATGCCACGTGATCACCTGCAATATAGATAAGCGGCAACAAAAAAGAAACCCGATTCGTCACCTAGATGCACGCAGGAATGGACTGAAAAAGGTTGGGGAAGAGCGCTTGCCACGGTTTTTTTATTTATTTATATTTTTTTTAATTTTTTTTTAAAGCGAACTAGATTCTCCAGAAACTTTCGCAAGCACCCGGAACCGCATCTAACCGACCCATAAAGGAAATCGTGGGTGACGGTGGGTCGTTTCAAGCATCTGCAACCGGAATCGACCAAAATAGGAAATCCACCCTTTTCCTTTTCCTTTTTGTAGCTTTTTTTACTCCGTCCGTTACTTCACGCGAAGAATTAGCAATTACGTCAAAAAAAACAAGTTAAAAAAAATCGGCATCAGCAGCGGCTTCAAATCGATCCAGAAAGAGAAGCGAGATACGACAAACCAATTGCAATTTGCAACCACCCCCCGGACCCCCGCTCCCCCCCCCAACACACACACAAAACAAAAAAAAAAAGAAAAGAAAAAAGGGAAAAAAAAAACAAGGAAAAATGATAAAATCATTCCAATAACCGAGATACGCCAGCCGGATAACACATGATGCAGACACTCCAGAAACAGCTTGAATGCGGACACCGTCATCGGCTGACTGTATCTGACCGAAAAGATCGCCTGTATACATTTAAGAGTAGGATCCGTTCTGGTCGAGGGCAGACGTTAATATTATGATTACACGTGGGAACTTTACGGTAGACGACAAAATCCGTCCTCCTGTACAAAAAAAGAAAAAAGAAAAAAAAAAAGAGTGCCTCGAACAGCCTGAAGCTCGCTGGCCTTAGTAACCGCTCCTCGCATTTTCATATATGGCACCCGGTCGCCGAGGAAACGACCAGGTTCAAAGTACTTAGATGACCATCGCTCCGTCTTTCGCAATCTGTAGCCGGAAGTCAGGTTCAAAGTACTGAGATGACCAGGTTCAGACTGTTGCTCTGTCTTTTCTTTTTCTGTTTTTTTTCTTCTTTACAGAATTCAGGCCATTTCTCGATTTATACGTGTCATCCTTACACAGGGACCACGCTAACCTTCTCTGTAACCTTCACATTCGTACGAATGTCATAAGGACGAGACCGATGCTCCACTTTAGCTTACGTGGGGCGATGCCTTTTTGTCTTTTTTTTTCGTTAGCTCCAATTTGAATTTGTTCGTGAGGGACCGCACGTGCATTAATGAACAAGCAGCGAGGTAATTAATAATTATCGTCAGTTACATATCGGCCTGTGCGTGCGTGCGTGTGTGTGTGTGTGTGTGTGCGTGTGTGTGTGTGTGTGTGTGTGTGTGTGTGTGTGAGAGAGAGAGAGAGAGAGAGAGAGAGAGAGAGAGAGA